AGAGGGGGGAGAGAGAGAAAGAGAGAGACAGACAGACAGACAGACAGACAGACAGACAGACAGACAGACAGACAGAAAGACAGGCAGAGAAAGACAGAGACCCAACCCCACCCACCCCAAAATAAATAAATAAATAGTTTCAAAAGCAGCCAAAAGCAACTCACAAAGCGGCCGTCTTGGGCAACATGTTGACAGGGACATACTTCAGGCCGACATTCATACATCTCACTTGAGGCTGTGCCCCGATGTCACAAATACACACACCATTGTAGGGAGGAACGTTCACATCACAGGCCCTTTGCCGCGGGGCTTGGATCGCCGGAGCAACTGTGGTTCCAAGGGCTCCAGGGGTTACTGCAGCTTGGGCCAACTGCTGTCCGCAAAGAAGCAAGAAGAAGAAGAAGAGGAGGAAGCAAACCACCTCCCGCTGAGGATTGATATTCCGATACATTGCCAGTTTTAACTCAACAGCCGCTCAGGCCCTCCGTGGTTATATTATGGCATGCGTAATTAATCCCTCTTGGTCGTCGTTGAGAGCTTCACAAATCGTTGGCAATTTGATGACCGATCTCAAGGGTGTTTCTTGAGTGTTTAGATGTGGATCCCAGACGTTGGTGAATGTTCAGGAGGGAGGGGGGGGGGGGAGAGGAGGGAGGGAGGGACGGTTACCTTTCGCTGGTCCACCAGAGACCTGATTCTGGAAAAGTAGACGTCTGGTTTTTGAGCCTGGAGTCTTCAGATAGGTTTGAGAGAGCTTTTCTTGTTTTTTTGCCTGCAAAATAATAAAAATGAAAGAAATTATTTTTTAAAAACCCATAAAAAACAATAGAATTTTGTACAGAACTTTCTAGAGCAGCTTTGCACCTTGCGATCGTCAAAGTTTGATAAAGTAAAGTCATTAGCAATGTAAAGGCAATTTCCCCACACCCAAACTTATTATGCATCTAGGGGAAAAAGGAATAAATAAAAATCTAGAAAAACCCCCCACATAAAAGACAAAGAAGAACCTGACAAGAAAAGAAAGAAAATATGATATCTTTATAAAGCCCCCCTCCCCCCCCACACACACACACCAAAATGAATATAACAAAGGAAAAGAAAAAAAAATCAAATGGGCGCAGCAAGGAAACTCCACATCAAGCACGGAAGTTGTGAAGTGAACAATAACAACAACAACAACAATATTCCCAGCCAAAATAATACCTGACCACCAGGCGCGGTACTTCAAAAGCAAGTTTCATTCCCTCCTATAAAAACAAACATGCGTGAATAACCCGATCGAAACGGCCGCGAACTTTCCACGGGTATGGATAAATTCAACAAGTCCCCGTGTCCGCTATGCACACAAACGATACGTCCATATGACCTTAACTCTTCGAGGACTAAGCCAACACATAAATTATTATGTCCAATCATCAGCAGGACGAAAGTAATATAATATTATTGTTGCCGCGCACTTCGAACTATAGTACACCAATAAGAAACACGAACTTGCATATTATTTCATAGTATGTAACTCGTAACCTGATCATGTAAAAGTTTCAGACAGACGAATGAATTAACAGAACTGAACAATCTGTATGAATGTTTCTGGCGTCCTCAAGCATTCCCGAATGGCCAAAATGTGCGACGTCAATGAGTTAATGTTATTATTCCGGCCGTGTCAAGAGAGCAGACGACTGGTCCGTGTCTTTGTTATGTCTTGTTTGCACTGCCCCCCCCCCGACCCACCCCTTGTATGTCCAGTAACAATGGCCCATGTCTCGGAGGTTAACTCTTTCAACCAAGGCGGACACACATTGTGGCTGTGGTGGCCAAGTGGCAAGGTTCTCGGACTCGCAACAGTAAGATCGAGTGTTCGAATCCCGTCAGGGGCCCGATGTTGTGTCCTTGGGAAAGGCACTTCACACGAATGTTCCTCACTTCAAACAGTTGAAAATGGGTACCCGGCTATAAACAGTCAAAGGTCTTGTCAGTTTATTATTAGTGTTTGAGCGCATGAAATCCACAGCTTGAACTGTATGCTTCCCGGCGGGAAGCCGAGAATATCCGAGTGTTCTAGTGTCTGCTGGGGGTAATAATACTTGTAAAGCGCATACAACATGCTGTGGGGCGTGGATATGCGCTATATAAGTATAATTATCATATGTCCTATCAGCAGCAAACAAAAGGCATTAAGCATTCTCCGTTTTAGTTGGTGCCGGTTTTGAATTTTGCCCGGGTGGCGGTCGAAGCTCACTCTTATCGCTTTTAAAACCACCAAGGAATCTTTAACGTGAGCAACTTGCACACGGGACCTTCGAGGTTTTTTGGCCATTTTCCGAGAAGGCCGTCGAGGGATGCAGAAAGGGGAGATGAAAGCAGATGAAAGAACATGACTAGAGAGCAGGAAAGGGGGTGAAATGAGAACACTTTTGAGAAGAACATATTTCGTCACTGTCAGGTATCGAACCTGGGACCTATTGAACGACAAGCAAACTCCATATCCCATTCCTTCCAGTCGTCATCCCCCCCACGCAAAATCATTTCAAGTTGTCCTGTATTCAACACATTGTTATGTACTACAACTATTCTAACCTTTACAGTGGGTGGTTGGCGGGTGCTCTGGTGTGGTTTGCTTCCTCTTCCCTATCAAACAACTAGGCCTTATCTCCCTTTCTTCTTTTTCATGTTTGTTACTCTCTTGTAACACCTCTAATCTTCTGGCGCTCATATGACCTTATGCAGTTGCGAGCGCCGTAGAACCTCTACTAAAACTAACCTTTACTACGCACGAGGCGGCTATCGACGTTCCTCTCCCCACAACATCGACTGTACAGTCCGGGTCGGCCACTTGTAGGGTTTCACTATTGATCTGATAGATAAACTATCCGTCTTTTGACGCCGTAGTTCACCAGTGAACAAAACCAACAAAGGGAGACCTAATCCTCTCCACCGAGGGATTTTGAGGGTTCTCATCTTTGTCACTTTTCTGAATCGACCATAACAAAAGAACGAGAAACGAAAGGCGGAATGAATGACTATGTACTCTATCCTGGTAAGTTGACATCCTCATAATGTGTTCTTTTTTCATTGGGCAGCTGTTTGATTTTTTTCGCGCCCCGGTAGAGAATGGTCAGGAGAAAAAAAAGCTGTCAACTCTAAAATATCTAGAAGAAGTAACATACTTATAAATAACTCCACCATGAGTCGCGAAATGTGAGATAAAAAGAGTAGCCAAGAAATGCCACGAAGCTGTATACTTAGTAACTATTGATTTTGTTTGCTATGCTTTGTCGTTTTAGATTTATTTTCAACATAGTAAAATACACACAGCAAAAGAAAATGTATTTGCTACATTAAAATGCTTTCCTTTTCTCTTCTTTGAAACTAGAAAGTCATGAAAATCCCTAAAGGATAAAACAATATAAGATTATTCATGGGTACCCACTTACCAGAGTTCCAGAATACAAAATAACTAGCATTCTAACATACAACCACATCATGCTGACTCCTGTATTAGAGGGTCAGCGACGGTCGAATTGACGAGCAAACTTGACCAAAGTCTTGTTTCCTCTCAGCAAATATGAGTCTTGAGTTGGACACCGAGGAATACACAGGCATATCTCTCTCTCTCTCTCTCTCTCTCTCTCTCTC